ATAAAAATAAAACAAAGCATAAAAGCGGTAATCTTCGTTTAGTTACATTTTTTATTTTGTCAAAAGCCAGTTGAACTAAAATATTTTAGGTAGCGCCAATGATTTTTTTTTATAAAGGGGAAAACCTAATAGTGTAGATATAATAGTGTAAATTGTTTAAAAAACTCTACGGTAAGTACATTTAAATCCCTTTTAAAAAAATAACCTTAAAACAAATGTTTTTAAGAAAGAAAAAAAAAAACTTTAAATAAGTATATTTTTTCTGAATTCAATTTTCAAATAAGGAAGTTTTTTTTTTAACATTTAAATTTCATTTATAATTTTTTTTTATGGCAATATTGTATAATTTAAAGATATTTCATTAAGATAGACTTAACAATTTTTAATATTGTTTTTTAATTAATTACAATGAAATACTTTAAAATACGCAACTGACATAATTAAACTTTTAACGATGTAAATATCTTTATTGAGTAAAGTTAGATTTATTCGCGTTACGCTTTTCCCTTTCACAATAAAATCTCATAGCAAGGCCTGATGCATACAAGAAATCATAAAAGAAGTTTAATAAAAAAACTTTTCTTTATCATCTTGCAAACAAAAGAATTTTAACTCCCTTGATATATTGATTTGAAAAATTAATAACTGAGTAATATCTATAGAAGGTTTTTATTTTATTAATTATTACAAGTATGTATGCTTGAAACAATATAAATATTGCAATGTCTTTGTTTATATTTGTAAGAAAAATAATAGTTTAGAAAAATAATATTTTATATATTACAAATGTTGTTTAGACAACATTTGTAATTCCAAACTTTTCTACTTTAATTCCAAATTAAAGTAGAAAAGCATCTAGAAAATATAAAGTGGATATTTAAATATTATTAAAAATACAAATACGCCTAAACAGCTTTACAAAAATGTACTTTATAAAAAGTTTAGCATTATGAAAAAGGTTACTAATAGTCTGTCAAAGCTAGCATTAATTTTAAAATCAACCAATAAAAATTTTTTTTTAGTTGATTTTAAAATTAGTGCGCGTTTTTATGTACCATTAGTAATGTTTTTCATAATACTAAACTTCTTATGCAGTACATTTTTAAAAAGTTGCGTAAGTTCCTTGAATTTTAAATATTATTTGAATATCCACTCTTTTTTTCTAGATGCTTTTCTACTTCAATTAAAAAAATTTGGGATTACTTATGTTGTTCGAACAAAGGTTGAATTATAAATGTTATAAGTGGATTATAGTGTTATAATAGTTATAATAATTGTGTTACAGTGTTATGTTAAAATTATATTATTACAGTGCAAAAAAAATAGTGTTATTACTTTTATTATGCAGTTAGTTACTAGAGTGTTGTTACTTTTGTAGTCGTAAGTTTATTGTTTTATTTATAACTTTTTTGCTAACAAATTTAAGTTGATTTGCCACTTGAAAACAAAGTACATGGTTTTGTATAATCTAAAATTTTAAAGACCAGATATATATTTCCAGATATTTCATTTTGAGATGGCTCAATTCAACCCTTGCATATTTTAATTCATTTATAAAAATGTAGAGAAAACAGTGAAATTAATTTATGTTAAACAACAATAAAAAATAAAATAATAAATTTATTTAATATTAAAAAACAAAAAAAAATTGAAATGTTCCATAATCAGTTGTAGACAGGAAAGGTGTGCGATCGCACTCCAATTATGACCACGCAAGTAATTTTTTTTTGTTTTGAAAGCTTGACTATGGCTTTTTAGATAATTAAAAACGTGTTAAAAAAAAAAACAGACAAGAAAAAAATTATAAACAGGCTAAATTATATACAAAAGAATAAAAATCTTAACGAAAGAGAAATTGGAAAAAAAAAAAAAAAATAAATCTATAGTTCTAAAAAAAAATCAACTAATATAAACAGGGCTGGGAGTCAGAGTTGTGACATTTTTAGTGGAGTCGGAGTCGCTAAACAAAATCGCAACTCCGACTCTAATAGTAAAACTTCTCGGTATTGCACGTGCATGTACAAAACATTCAATTAACCTTATATTCATACTAAACCCCAAAGAACGTTTCATAAATTTGTCAATAAAAAAATTTATTTCTTATCGCGTAATATTTTTTAAAGAATTCGAAGAATTTTTCAAAAATTTTGCTTTGGAGTTGGAGACAGAGTCGGAGTTGTGCTCCGACGGAGTCGGAGCACAATTTAATTACTATACTATGCACAATAAATCCCTCCCAAGAAAGGCGTGCGGTTTTTCTACTTGTATGACCACATGCAAATATCTTATTTTAGACAATTTGAACACGGCCGTTCGTAAGTTTTATAATAATCAATGCTGAAAAAGTTTCAAAAACAAAAAAAATAAAACTAACAAAATAAAAAGAGATTAACATAGAAAGAAATTAAAACACATTAATAGTTTAAATTATTTGTGTACTGTTTTTATTTTTGTTTTTTAGAGTGGTTATTACATTCAGCAACAAATTTTATAAAACAAA